AATATTAATGGGTCACCCGGCCAGACTGGTCATCCCCATATATATAAACGTATTGTTTCGAACAGATTTTCCTTTAGGCTAAGAAGCCCTTGGGACATCCAAAATGTTGAAATATTCAAAAATTTTAGGGAAGGAACTGCTAATATGACTTGAGTGTGAGTGTTACCAAAGAGATACCTGTTACTAGACAAAATAGCAGTAACAAAGTACAGAGTGACTATGATCTCAAATATCGACGAAAAAGTGAACATGATTACTAGAGATTATTAAAACATTTTTTTATACCCAGACGACATCTGATAGCATCTTTGAAGCTTTGCTCGTAGCGAAACCTTTTAATATGGGAAGGAGATGGCTTATAGGAAGAGCCTCGGATTATGTCTAATGAATTTATTATGGCTACGATAAGTTAGCCATCCATCAGGAATTAAATTCAGTCTAAAGTAAAGGTTTTTTACCTTCGAGCTTACTTTCTAGGCTACTTTTCCACTGACTGTCAGCAACTCTCAACGGCTTGTAGTCTCCTGTTCATTTTTCGCGATAGAGAAATATTCTTTTCTATTGAGAAAGTTATGCTAACTACTAACCTAATACAACTGTTGGACGCCGTTCAACTTTATATTATGACTACGAGTAAGTCTCGATGAGACTAAGGGAAACTTAAAAGGATTCGAACTCATGACCCACTGAGAAAGAGTTACGGCTATTTCAAGGAAATTTTTATTGAGAGTAAGTGGATTTTATTCTCAGTAAAAATTTTATTCAAACGACCATAACTCTTTATCAGTCGATTATGGGTCCGAATCCTTTTTGAAGCTTGTCTTACTTTTACTGAGACCTACTCACAGGCATAATATGAAACTGAACAGCGTTCGACAGTTGTATATATTCTCTTATAAGTATTAATAGAAAGTTTTTTTTTTCGAACATAATCAATATGTGCATGTTTTTTTTTTGTATATTATAGATTTTTAAAACAATTGAAGCTACTGAACAATCACTTATGGAATATATCAATACAAAAAATTCTGATGTTTCTGATCTATTTAAAGATCTTAATTTACCACAAAATACTTCAAAAAATACACGAATAGAAATTGAAGATTATTATGTTGAGGTATAAATTAAAGACTCGATTTATTTTCTATACATATAAATTTGTTTTTTTTTGTATTCAATAGAAATTTAAACAATATACATTAAGCAGTAATTTAATCTCACGTTTACAAGCACGTCATGATATTATGCAAAAAGCATTAGGTGCTACACCACCAATTGGTGCTGTTGAAGATAAAAAGTATGAAATATTTTACAGAATGATCTTTAAAAAAAATGTATCAAAAATAATTTTAAGTTTTCCATTATGCTATTGAATAATTAGATATCAATCAATCAATTCTAGTTCCTATT